ATCGAACTCATGCGGAAGTGGCTTTAGCTTCTCAGTGCTGTGCTTTAACCCGCTGCTCCACCAGGGAGGGCCAGTTTTTTCATTTTTTAAAGCATTCTTCATAATATGTATTTTTGAAGATTTATTTATATACACATAGAACTGGGGTACAGGCCAGAGGTGCAGGGGCTATGAGAAGATTTACCAGAGACAGAGTGGGGAGCAGAACAGGCAGGAGAGGTCTGCTGTGCCATGTGGGTCACCCCCCGGGCCAGGGATCAAACTGACACTGAAGCAGCAGCAGCTAGCTTGCAGTGCTGCATCTTGACCCGTTGCGCCACCAGGGAGGGCCCCAGTTTTTTTCATTTTTATGTCCTTATCTTATCACATCCACAGCTTTACAGCCTTGTAGCCTTCCAGAAAGAAGGCCAAAGAACAGATGGGTTAATTTTTTCCACCTCATTCTCTTACTAAATGTATAAAGTTTCCGTTTCATAGCTTTTTTATGGACATGTTTCCATTTATGTAGGGACATGTTATATATGTCATGTAACGTTTTTTAGAAACAATCTTTTGCTTCTCTTTCCACTAGCTTGGCATGTGGTGATGTCACCCAGACTCCTCCAAGCCCTGGCTGCGTCTCATTGCATCTTGTCCAAAGCTTGCCAGTGCCAAAGACTCGTCGGTAGGACATTGAGCCCACATAAGGAATTCGTGGCTCCAGCATGCAGCACACACACGGGACGTCATTGCTGGGATTCGTGCTCTCCTGCTCCAGCAGCTGGTGGTGAGGCTGAGTGTGAGACCCTGGACGTGAATCGGAGGACAGCAGCTGGCACTGTGCTGGGCCGAGGGGGGGAAGCTCCCCTTCCAGCCAGGAAATCATTTGGTACTCACAGGAATCTGACTCACAGCCCCAATCTTTTGGATTCTACAAGGCTTATTAAAATATTAGAGCGGCATTATTCATCACCATCAACGGAAACCCTCTCTCCAAAACAAGACTTGCCACAAATCAAGAGACCGCTGAAAGCATCAAGGACCAGGCAACCATCCAGGACCAACCTCCCCGTTCTGTCTGTGAGCGAGGTAAAAACACTCGGTTTCGTGATATCACTTGCTCTGAGCAACAGCGCACCGTTGTGCCACGGCCTGCTGCGCCCGTGGCAGTGGAGACCAGCTCTGCGCTTTGCTGCCCCACCCCAGCCCCCAGATCTTTCATGCCCAATAGTAAAACCAGTTATATCCAAAAGGAACCAGGATCTTAATTTTAAGAATTAGCTATACAAACAACAACAAATATATATAGGCCACAACGTGTAAAAATGTTATTTAGGAAAGGGTTCGAAACCCAAGGAAGTTTGGAAAAAGAAGACTAGTCGGGGGCTCCCCGGTTTCCTGGGGGTTAAATCTCAGCGCCGTCACCCCTGTGGTCTGAATCCCATCCCTGGCCAGGGAGCTGACCCGCATGGGCCAGCAGACCTCTCCTGACCCGCCCGCTGCTCCGCTCAGCAGTGGATTTCAGTCGATCTGCCTGTTCTGCTCCCCACTCTGTCCCTGGTGAATCCTCTCAATCCCCCCGCCCCAACACACACCTTTAGCCTGCACCCCAGTTCCTCATACAAAATAAATAAATACATATTTTAAAAAAAAAAAGACTAGTAGTAAAAGTGCAGTTGTGGAATGCCACTATTCAAAAAGCACCCCTTAAATAATCAAAATGTAAAAATTCTTTGTTGAATTTAAAATAGTACTGAACTCTCTGGCAGTATCTCTGGCAAAGCAGCATCTCCACGCAGTGAGCTCGTTCCCCACCCCGTGACTGTTGGGGTGCAAGCAGAGAGGGGCCAGGCAGGTGAAGCCACAGAGCCAGCTGGCAGAGACCAGCCAGTCGGATTTTGTTTTTTGGTTTTTTAAGGTTGCAAGGAGCCATATTATTTGTGTTGGATTTAGAGGCCAATGAGAATTTCTCAACTGCAGTTGCATTTCCCCTCACGTATTTAAGCCCCACACAGGCCTTTCGTTAGTTGACCTTTGTCTCTTGCACAACTCCTAGATCTGTGCTTCACACTTCACAGATGTCTCTTAAATCAGAAAGGACTGCAAAGAGGCAGAGGAAGCTTTAGTCATGACGTTAAAGCGTGTCATCAGCATCAAAAGCGGAAAAATAGGGTATTTCGAACTTGGTCAGGACCCCAGAGTCTTAGGAGGGTGCGGGTTAGACTGTCTGAAGCTGTCGATTCTGAGAAGACAGCCTTCAGCACGTTTAATCTGACCATATTATTTCATGTGCCCTTGATTTCCAGACTTTCACTGCTAATGGAGTTGATCTTTATTTTGGATTCTAGTTTTGTTTAAATTCTGACATGGTGATCTGAACCCAGGATGTAAAGGATGCAGGGGCTGTACTGCCCTCGCCTTCTCTTCCATGGTCCTGTGTGCTGAATGGCATGGGCCAGCTTGTCATAGTCCAGAAACTCAGTCTGTGCGAGGGAGATAAAGCATAAAAGCCTGAATTCGAGACACATCCAGCAGCAAAAGAAAACCTCCCCTTTTTGCTTTTGTTACGTCAGCACTGAGCGCATTCCAGTCTTATAAAAAGCTGCGAAGATCAGGGCCCTCCCTGGTGGCGCAGCAGGTTAAAGCACAACACTGAGAATCTAAAGCCGCTTCCGCATGAGTTCGATCCCCGCCTACCCCGGAGGTGACCACATGGCATGGCAGACCTCTCCTGACCCACCCGCTGCTCCCCTCAGCAGTGGACTTCGTCGATCTGCCTGTTCTGCTCCCCACTCTGTCTCTGGTGAAGCCTCTCACCGCCCCTGAGCCTCTGGCCTCTACCCCAGTTCTGTATGCACAAATAAATAAATCAAAAAAAAAAAAAAAAACTGAGAAGATCAGAGACGTCACTCGTCACATAGCTGTGGGTTGTCAGCTATCAGAGAGGCTCAAACTTCTCAACTGTCTTTAGACTTAGCAGCAGTTTTCCTGAATTCCACTGTTTTTTTCTCTCTAAGATTTTTTTTTTCCCACTAGGAAAGGAATTGAAGTAGATTTTCAAAAATGCAACCGTTTCAAATGAGTTAATAAAAGCAACCACAGTTCAGAATTAGAACAAACAAGAAATAATATCCAGTACCTGGTGGGAATAGCTAATCTTGTTGAACACTTGATTACGAGATACTCAGCAGTGAAACAAAGGAGGGAATTTGTGGATTATGTAGTTCTCACTGCCTACCAGGGGGATAGGAGCAACATGAAAATGGCTTAGAAGAAATCATTTCTTCCATGAACGTTAAGGAGTCCCTCACTTCCCTGTCTCTGCATAGGAGACAGCAGTGAGGTGGAGTCTTACAGAAACAGAAACAGCTCAGGAAACACATTGAAAATCTGATGCTTCTGAAAACCCTTCCGACATGATCCGAGGGGGTGTCACTTTGGGACGTCCTTTCCCTGGGACTTTCCCTTTCTGCAGGTATCAGCAGTCCCGAGGTCGGGCGGTTGAGGTCTGCCGGGCTGAGCACGGCTCTGCCCTGCCCTGCCCAAGTGGGAAACCGCTCCCGTTCACGCAAGCGTCAAGGCTGGCGAGTCTCAGGACCGAGACAGGAAAGGCGGGCTCGTCTCGCTCTCCACAGTTGCCCTGGCCATGCCCCGCACCGTGGGGTTCAGTGAGAGTGAGGTTTGCTGCCCGCCTTCCAGGGGTCACGCTCTGAGACCCCAGCCCGCCGAGATAGTCAGCCCGCATCTGCTTGTGCAAACTGGTCATGGCGAGGACAGTGCTGCTTCTTGGCATGACCTGCCTCTGAGGGGCTGGAGGAGATCCCCAGCTCTGGGCAGAAAAGGGGAACACAGGGTGCTGGTAGTGTGTTCCAGATGGCGCCACAGCATGTTGGAAATTAGTGGGCTGGTGAGAGTTGTTTTTTAATGAATAGAAGAGAATGGACGAGAAGCATCGCAGTGAAGGTTGTGCAAGGGGCCCCTGAGTGCAGAGAGCAGGGAGGGGCCTGCCACAGCCTGGAAGCCAGAGCACCGTGCTGGTCAGGTGACTTGGGTCTGTTTTAGAATACTCAGCTGCAGGCAAAACAGAAGGAAAAGCCTTTATTTCTCTCTTTTAATATAAAAATAACTTTGCTCTAATACACTCAATTTCTTCAGTAATAGAGCATGAATAAAAACCAGCTTTTTTTTTTTAAAGATTTATTTATTTATTCATACAGAACTGGGGTACAGGCCAGAGATGCAGAGGATAAGAGACTTCACCAGAGACAGAGTGGGGAGCAGGCAGATCTACGAAGTACACTGCTGAGGGGAACAGTGGGCGGGTCAGGAGAGGTCTGCCACGCCCTGTGGATCTCCTCCAGAACCAGCGGGAATCGAACTCATGCGGAAGTGGCTTAAGCTTCTTAGTGCTGTGCTTTAACCCGCTGCACCACCAGGGAAGGCCTTTTTGTTTTTTTGTTTTTTTTTTTTTAAGATTTATTTGTGCATACAGAACTGGGGTACAGGCCGGAGGCTCAGGGGCGGTGAGAGGCTCTACCAGAGACAGAGTGGGGAGCAGAACAGGCAGAATGACAAGTACACTGCTGAGGGGAGCAGCGGGCAGGTCAGGAGAGGTCTGCCACACCATGTGGTCACCTCCAGAACCAGCGGGAATCGAACTCATGCAGAAGCGGCTTTAGATTCTCAGTGCTGTGCTTTAACCCGCTGCACCACCAGGGAGGGCCAAAACCAGCTTTTTTAAAAAAGTATTCCATCAGTGTTTGCTGTGCTAAAACATAAATCATATATAGATTTCTAGCCCCATCTGCTGGAACATGTTTTCTGTAGTGAGAAAAGTGAAATACACTGAAATGTGATTTTCTTGGTCTCTTTTTTCCCTTAAATTCTAAAAAAGTAGCAATTTTAGTTTGGTTTGGCATATTTATATAAGAATAAGTTGTTGACCTCATCTGAAAACCTGAAATTTGCTGTTTGTATATCTAAAACTAATGTTAATTAATGGTTCTTTCTAACAATCCAGAAGAGGACAGGTGTGAAGACTCCTCACAATGTAACACCTTTAATCAACTACTAGGGAAAAAATTGCAGACACGATACGCCAGAGTCCTTGCTGCTTGAGCCAAAAGGGTTTAAGTACAATCTTGACATTTAAAAGCAAAGTAAATAAAACCAAAACATGGTCTGTATGAAATGTCAAATCGAAGCATTTTGTGGATCATTTCTCATGAGGGAAGCTTAAACAAAGACCAGACTCTTTAGGGAGGATTCAGGGAGTCACGTGGCAAGCCGAATAAGCTGTGTGACTTTGGCTGGGACTGTGCGTCACACTAAATAGGAATGGTGAGAGGGAACAGTGACCACCCAGGAAATCTGCAGAGAGGCTCCTTGGAATGACTGAGTAAAACAGGCTGTGATAAAAAAGGTATTTATAATCTGACTGCTTGGAGCTCAGAATGTATTTTCTCAGAAACAGTGATGGAGTGCCTTGCCTTGTCCCATCCTTCAAAATAGCATGGACGCTGAGCACAGATGGGCCTGGCCAGTATCACAGTGATGGTTAGACAGGCATGAGCCCAGGGGAGTGGGCAGGACCGCATGGGCTGGAGAGACGGGCCCTCGATTCCAGCCCATTATTACCAGATCTTCCACTTTCTCAGAAGGTGATGAAGTCTGATTTGTGTGAGATCTCACTTGGTTGGTGATAATTCAGATCTTGGACACTGCTAGGTGGGTGGGCTCTTGACTACGTGTCGGGGTTGCCAGTTCACAATTCTGGCTCGAGGGAGAGCTAACCTCCCATCTCCAGCACAGTGATGGGAGATCTCCCACTGGACCTGCCCTTGACCTTCTCATCTACTGTCTTCCCTGCGCCTCCTGCTCTTCCCACCACAGCCCAGCTCAAGCAGTCACGGAAGTAATCCCCAGCCTCACATGCTGGTTTTGCTTATTTGCAGGATGCGGAAAGTCGAGCTTGCCTGCCGTGGTCTGTTAGGGGCTCCTTTCTTGGAGCGTAATCTCCTGTCCCGTCAAGTCTTCAACTTCTTTCAGCCTAAAAGGGTAGTGCCAACAGTCGTAAATCTCAAGGGCATGTGAAGGACACCTGTGTTTCTGACTTGCACATGTTGGTGCCTCAGCGCCTTCTCACCTGTGTGACCTGGTGGTCAGGTAGCAGCTCCTACTGCAGAAGTAGGAGTCTACCCCCTTCCTCCTCACATTCAGCAACTCCAGCTTTTTATATTGTCCTAATTGAGTTAAAATCATTTTGCTTATGGGTGGATATTGTATTGCTTTTAGGTTTTTTAGTTGTTTACTCCTCTGTTACATTTAAAAGTACACGTTGGAACTTGTAACAGACTGAAGTAAAATTTATTTATACATACAGAACTGGGGTACAGGACAGGGGTGTGGAGGGTGAAGGGCTCAATAGACACTGAGTGGGGAGCAGAACAGGCTGATATAGTGAAATACACTGCTGAGGGGAGCAGTGGGCAGGTCAGGAGAGGTCTGCCATGCCATATGGGTCACTCTCTTGGCCGAGGATCAAACTCATGCTGCTGTGGCCGCGGTAACTTCATAGTGCTGTGCTTTAGCCCGTTGCGCCACCAGGGAGGGCCCTGTAACAGACTAAAGTAAAGGCCGAGCTGGGTCAGTCCGTTTTCTTGAAAAAGGGCTGGCTAAGTAACAAAAGTGGAAGAAAGGAAGGAGGGAGTCTATATACTGCATTTTGCTTAGCTTTGTACCAAGAATAACAAAAAGAATTTAGGAACTGGGAGAAATAAATCCTAGGATTAATTTTGACTTCATAATTCGTAAACCTCCTTTGACCAATGTTGCCAAAGCACCATGGGTATCACAAGACAGCATTCTCTCCAGTTGATACTAGCATGGAATTATGAGCGTAAAATCAGATGTAGATTACCTCCCATACGTTGTGGTGGTCAGGCAGCGTATTGCCTTCCTGCTAGCTGTAATTAACAATCGTGGGCATTGTACAGTGCTCCGTGTTCATCGGCTGCTGTAAACGACTGTGTGCTTCATCTTGTGCCTGAAGTCCTAGCTCCTGCTTGTCGCCATTGAGCCTGTTGGCTGCGCCCACAGTGAGGAATGTATTTCAAATATTGCCTGCACGGTCTTCAGCCCGCCTTGGGCTGCGTTACAACGCCTCAGTCAATGGCAGCACCAGGGGTGTGTAACAGGCTACACCATCTCGGGGTGTACAAATACACCCTGTGATACTTGTGTGCATGACGACTCCCTCGCCTAGCAACACCTTTTCAGAATGGATCCCATTGTTAGGTGCCGTGTGAGTGGCGGTGTGGCGATACATCAAACAGAGGACTGTGTCAAACAGGTGACACACAATGTGCTCTCATATCTTACATTCTCTTCAACATGAATTTTTTTTGAAAGCTCGCTTGGGCCATCTGAATTGATACCAGACTTGCCAGTGGGCTGGGACCAGCGGCTTGATGAGCTCGGCTCTGCCACGCGGTTACCCGCTGTGCACAGCCCAAGCTGGATGCTCGCGTGTGTTCCCAAGCGGACCGCGGGGCCAGAGTCCTAGCCAAACCTGGACACCATCTCAGATTTATGACTCTTGCTGTTTAATGTTAACCTGAGTAAAAATCCTGATTCCTTTGTGGATTTAAGTGATCTCTTGTACAGGCTACTGACAGACACCGGTGCCCTGCGATAGTAATGTGGCATGGGAGTGTGGGAAATCTGGGTTGAGGAGACACACAAGTTATGCAGAAACTGGTTTCCCTAAAACGGCCCCTTCATCCTAAGCTCATCCTCATATGAACCTGTGAGGTAGATGCTTGAAGAAAACACTCGAGTGCTGGCTTTGCAGAAAGGGGTCCTGGCAGGTGACAGACGCCAGCCGGATCCCTTAGCCTCTCGGTCACCCGCGCCTGCGTTCTCCCCAATACAGGGCCTGATGCACTGCATGGCGTTTGCAACCGCAGACGAGTACCACCTTGGAAACCTCTCTCAAGATCTGGCCTCGCATGGATATGTGGAAGTAACAAGCCTGCCTAGAGGTACATCTCAGCCTGGGGCCAAGTATGTCAGAGTACTAGAAAATCATTTTCACGATACTGTATTAATGATGCATTTTATGTTTATGTTGCATTTTCTGTGTGAAGAATTTTATAAAAGTGGCATTGAATCTATACAAGTAACTTATGGAGACAAACATATATATGCAAGAGAACTCAATTCTCAGATTCAAGTCAGTATGATTTATTCAGCATTATTTATAGTATCATTGTTCTTGGTGGTTGTCGAAGCTAACCCCCTTCATTTCTGTCATGTTAAAAGTTATTCTGGTGTTACAGAAGAATCATGAAATTCATAGAAATGTTCAGAAATGTCCTCATACAATCTAAGACTTTGAAAGTTGCAAAATTAGTTAAAAGATAAATATGATTTTTTTGAAAGAATTAAAATAAATGGAGGCATTCTGAGTAGTATCTGGAAGGAATCTTGAGAAAAATAACATGCTCTACATTTAAAAATCAGTAACTTGGAACACTGATGGAAATTCAGGAATTTACAGGAAAGTAACAAAAAGTAGCAGGTCAGATATCTTCCCATTGCAGAGAAAATTCTTCCAATAGATAGTAGTCCCGTCAGAGACAATCAGAACGTCTCATTCGCATTTTCAGACTTGGTGATCTGAACAGTGCTCCGTGATGGAGAAACGAACATTGTTGCCTTAGAATATCAGAGCAGGGTGCACGCCCCAGGGGAAGACCCCGGGTGTCTTGGGCTGACCCCAAGGTGTCCGCCTATGGCCTTGCACTCTAAGGCTCGCAGCCAGGCTGCTGTTCTCATCGCTCTGGGTCTTTCCCACTTGACCCTTTGCTGTGGCTACTTGGGTGGTTTTGCCCTGCGCCAAATGCAGTATAGAGGTCACCAAAAAGGGTAGGTAAGATTTGGTCTCTATCTGAACTCTTCACTCCCCAACTTCTAGGAGTCCTGAAGCTTTGAGGATCCCTCCTTGAAGCTAACTTCATACATATTCCTATTTATTAATGGATATACTGACATTGTAATTGACATTATAGAATACAATCTTAGGAGTATTGCTATGCTAATCTATAAAGCGACTACTGATGACTGTAAGAAATATTTAAGTTAAGCTCCTCTGTAAGGTGACTTCTGGTGGTGCTGTGCGTAACATGGACATCAGACATGTCTTGAAATGACCGGTTCTTCATTTCTGTATGTTTTATTTTGCACTGCTCTTTATATAACTTGAATTCCAGCAGAACCAGGAGTATGAGCGATCAAAATTATTAATAAAACCATATTTGGAGAAAGAGAAGACAGGGTTTTTCAGATTATTTTGTGGAAAAGACACTTAATTCTTGAACCTTAGTTGTGCTGAAAACTATAACTTTAAGAACTTTAATATGCATAAGTAAAAACTAAGTCTTTACAAAAAAGAATTATCCAGTGAGTTATTTAAATGATGACTGAATCACAAATGAGCGTAGGCAATCAGTTTTAAATAATAGTATCACAGATCCTTGCCTATTTGGTGAAAGTGATTTTTTATCATCTGTCCACTTTGCAATAGCAAATAGTCTCCAAGGCCTAAGAAGGTCGAGGGTGTGACACAGCACTTACGTGCATGGGGTTGGCACGGGCTCTTGAACAAGGGTTTCAGGACTTAAACCTCATGTTTCCTTATGGATTAGCTTTTAATCCATTTATTTTAAATCACAGATGCAGCAAATATTTTGGTGATGGGCGCGGAAAGTTCTGCAAAGGAAGGTGATCCAGGGACAATGTTCTTCTTCAGGTAAGAGGAGAAAGAACACAACGTGGAGATGACCCCTGACAGGTGACTGTGCCTCTCAGAGGTGCAGGTGTCTGCCCCTCCTAGCAGCGAGTGTGTTCAAAATGTACTTTAAGTTCATCCATGGTTCTTATTTGACCTAGCAGAATCTGAAAATCTCCTTATAAAGAATTATAAAAACAAGTAAATACTCCCCTGGTTTATCTTGTCTTTGCAAATCTGGACTTTCATTGACTGTATGTGTGTTAAGCATCCTGTTTCCTGTTCATAGTCAGGGCCCTTATCGGACTCACCCCACCTGCTCCACTGTCTTCCTTTCCTTTCTTCTGTAGCTCTTTAGCTAAAGTTTAGCCCACTTTCCCTCTCCAGAGACTTCAGATGGGTTCAGCGTCAGATAGCAAGACAAGTTCATGAACAGCTTTAGACCTTAAATTCTGTGAGAGCCAGGCCAGGACTCAGCGCATCCTGTGCACCTGCTGTCCGCACTGGACGGGTGAGCTGTGAGCTCACAGCCATCTGAAGCGCTGGCTGACCTCACGCTCTTCATTCCGCAAACAGTGAAAGCGCAGTCCTTTCTTTTCCTGCAGCAGAGTCTACCTGGTGAGAGCTAAGACGAGTCTCAAGACAATTTCCTTATTCTGATGTTTGTACTTGGGAGCTGAACCCCGTGGGAAAGGTTTAGGTGTCTATTCATGGTACTGTAACGTAGTGACTTGTTCTGCAGACATGTGAGAGATCAGAGTTGTGTGTGGGCAGGTTTTTATCTAGAGTTCAAAATGGAGCTTCTGTAGCTGCGTAGCAGACTCATCTAGAGACTGTAGCGTCAAAAGCATCATAAACCTTGTCTTTCTACTTGCATTCTGGATACTTTAGAAGTTACCGAGCATGGCTTTATAATGGTCCCCAAAACAGTATTCAACCTTTAACTTAGCCAATTCTTTTATTCTTTTAAAATCAGGGAAGGAGCTGCTGTGTTTTGGAATGTGAAAGACAAAACTGTAAGTATAAATAAAGTATGAAAGCATGTAAGCTCAGTTTTCTAAGAAAACATTGTGAATTAGCACTCGATAATGAGCCCGTGGAAGATAACAACTAATCCACAGTGTGTTTGCTTTGCATTTTGTGATACTTATTCCAGCTTTTTGTCTTCCAAAATGTTTTGGCTTATAAGTTTTCCTACATTTTCCATTCTCCAGGCACACACTAATCTGTGTAGACTCAGAGACATGCTAGCTTTTCTGCAGTCAGGAAGACATATACTTTCCCAGTTTCCTGGAAGCCAGCTGTTCTGAGTCTTATTGTAGATCAAAGGGCCTCTTAAGTCTGTCACTTACCGGAAGTGGTTGCTTCAGTTCCCCTCTCAAGGTTTGTTTCATACAGCCTTTTTAGGGGCAGTGTACAGAGCATCAGTGCTTTAGATTTAATTCAGTATTTCTGCATTAGCAAGTTACCCAAAGGAAATAAGCTGTTCGTGATAAATGATGTATAGAAATGCTCAGTAACACACTGTTTACTACAGGGGCAGTGAGAAATGACTAGAACACACAGTAATAGGAAGTTTGGTAAATATGCCCACAGAATAGACGACCCTGCAGCCCTCAAAAATCACATGCCAAGACATCTGTTCTGGGAGAGTGCCTGTGTATGTGGCAGCTACATTAAAAAGCAGCTTATAAACTGTAACCAAATAACACTTTAAAGCTGCTTTAAAAACATGCCTCATACAATCCCAGTTGTACTAAAAGGGAACAGACACGGGATGGGCAGGTGGGGAGGGGTTTCCTGGAGGAAAAAATAAAAACGACCAGTAAGTATAATCCAGTGTGAAGGCGTATTCCTGAAACTGATACAGGACTGCAAACTAGTGGGAATCAATAACAGCTTGATTTTTAAAAAAGATAATACAAATTGGCCGCTTGAAGTTGCAAAGCTGTGAACGGCTGATGACATCCAGCCCTTTTAAAGAATACTGTCGTGAAAACGTGTGTCCTGAAGTTGGGCGACCGTTTCACAGCGCAGTTTAACGACACTTACAGAACTAGTGCATGTGTCTTCTGATCTGAAAGAGCGCCACTGAGCCATGAGGCTGCGTGCGTGGGCCCGGTGCCGGGCGACGCTGACAGCGGGGCTCTTCCCCGGGGTGGACGAGCGGGATGGGCGAACACATCACCGCCCCTCCATGAAGGAGAAGAGACTGGGGATGTTCCCGTGTATTGTCTCATCCCACTTCACATAAAAAATAAAAGTCTTGTACATGTACTTGGAAAAGGGCCTGCAAGGATCTGCACCACACTCGCTAATGGTCACGTTTGGGGAGGAGGAATCCAGTGGAGCAGGAGATCGCACAACTTTCTGTACCTCTCTGTGTTTAAAGTTTGCAGGTACAGTACTTACACATTGTTTTAAAAGTTAAAAGTACAAACATAAAACTGTAACGTTGCTAGTGGTTTTCTTCGGGTTGTGGAGTCCAGAGACCATTTTTATTTTCTTCTTCATGCTCATGTAAAAGCAAATATAGTATCTGATGAGTTTACTATCACAATGAATTAGCCTTTTCCTTAAAAATGAGCCAGCAGAATAAATTCCATCAATGGTAAATGTAAGCATCACACTGTAACGCATGCCCGGGCTGCAAGGAATGATGCATAATCTCATGTTCATCTTCCCTTTCTTCTAGATGAAGCATGTCATGCAAGTTCTTGAAAAACATGAAGTTCAGCCCTATGAAATTGCACTGGTACACTGGGAGAATGAAGAACTTAACTACACAAAGACAGAGTATGTTTTTATCAAATGTTTGAAAAGGACACTTAGAATCTGGGAAAGCAACAGAGGAGATAAATACTCGTGATGAATTTTAAGAAAAGAACCACTGGTAGAGAGACAAAGCCTAAATAATATGATGAATACTAGCAGGTAGACATTTTTTAACTTGTCAGGCTACCTGAAGTTAAAGCAAGTGGATTGCATAACCCCAAGGGGTAAATTTCCTAAGTAGATTAAGTCAATCAGCTGGTAAATTTCATCAGAGAGAACCCATGAGATTATTCTAAGAAAGATTCCTCTGAAGAAATCCTCTTTGTGGATGACATTGATGAGGGAATGGCCTAAGAGAAACACTTACAGAAGTGGGGGTGCCAGCAAGAAGTGGGAGCCTGACATAACCATGCCCAGATTGGCAACAAATGGGCCAGTTCTCCCGTCTGAGCTTGGGAAAGTGAAGAGAGACTGAGGGCAGGGGCCTCTGACAGCAAGGCAGCATGGGGTCTCCTCAGGGAGACAGCGCCTGCCCAGTGGAGTGTGAAGGTGATAGGTCTTACTGTTAAGAAAGGCAGTGACCGATGCAGAGTTCTCAGAAAATTCAGAAGAGACTCTAGCTGCTAAGACTCACTAAGAGCCTAAGTGGTAAGATTTAGCTACCCACCCGGCACCAGGCCCGGTCCTCAGCGTTGCCAGACACCCTTCATTTAACCCTGGGAAACCTGCAGCGGCAGGTAGCTTCCGGATGCGCCTCAGAGATGTTCTGTCTCACAGAAGGGCACCTGACTGGCGAGTGAGAGCCTTGGGCCCACAGTGGCCACAGTCAAAAGTGAGGGTGTGAACCTCTCTAGAGACACAGCCAATTAGGAGCTAAGAGAATTTGGTTAAGTTTTTCATTGTTAGGCGCTTGGCTGGTGGGTGTAGTCCCGTCAGTTTCTCTTCTGTGTTCGACTTCCACGTCAAGTGGCACTTGGTAGGCAGGTGCGCCTCGCGCTCAGGTGCGGCTCGCTACCTGATAGCCTGTAAATACCCCAGCGTGTTCCATCTCCGTGTCGAGAATTTGGTGTCATCCAAATTCTCACAGCGTGGCCTGTGAGTCCTGCCCGTGACTCCAGGAGTCTGCTGGATGCAGCCTTCTCTGCATCTTTGAATTCCCTAGGATGAATTCCTAGAAATGGAATTACTTGCACTGCAGGGCGTAGGAACACTTACTAAGATGCAATACAAATTGGCAAAATGACCTCTAGAAAAATGACTTTTTCAATAGGAAAAAAAATTGGTATTTGTAAGATTTAGTAAATACTTCCTATTATTTTTCCTTCTCACAGGGGACAGTCAAAACTTCACCGAGGGGAAATCAGGTTAAATTCAGGGCTTGATTTAGATGACGCCATCCTGGAGAAATTTGCTTTCTCAAATGCTCTGTGCCTTTCAGGTAAGTTACTGCTACTTATCAAAAAAAAATACATAGTTTTCATTTCACTGAGGGAAGATTAAGTACTTAGCAAGGATTTGACAAGTTTTCACAAGACACCAAAGCTTTATCCTTCCTGAGAAACACATACATCAAAATTTGGAATAAAAGCATCAGAGAGTATAAAATATGGTATCTGTTTGGAAGTTACTCATTCCTTGCGGACCGCATTGTTGAAGCTGACCTCCAGCAGTGTTTTGTACTGTTACTGCTGCCTCTGTCGCCCAGCCTTCCTTTATGGTCATTAGTCCTGGGTTGTCTGTAGTCCAGGCGGAGCAAGCCCAGCACCTCCCTGGGGGCCTGGCCCTGTCAGGAAATACCGTCTAGTTCCTCACAGGAAAGGCACAGTTGGCTGCCACAGCTCGAGTTTTCCTGAAAGATCCATGCCCCTGAATGCACACTGGCGGTCACTAGACGTCTTGTGTCCCACCAATCCACACTTGAGGCTGCTGAGCTGTGGCGTTTGAGGGGAGACCCTGAAGACCGACTCAGACCTTCTCCAGAGCCCCTGACCTCCAGGTTACCTGACACTCTGGGTTCCTCAGATGCAGTACTAGGAAATCAACCCCACCCCCCCTCCCCACCCCCCAAGACATAGCTTGTCTCGCATTTTTCTCATTTGCTTCTTAACCGTGGTTGGGATGGCTGCGAAGGTACTAAGCAGTTTAATTTGTATAAACATGAAGATAATGATAAAGAAATATTCCATTGTGATTTTTTTTCTCCCCCAGTGAAACTGGCTATTTGGGAAGCATCATTGGATAAGTTTGTTGAATCTATTCAGTCAATCCCAGAGGTAAGTATACCCATTGCATCCTGGTTTGCAAGGAATGGTTTCTGTTTAGAATAACAGTAGCCTTATCACAGTATTTAGAGGTAAAATGGACAATAGGAAAGCTACACTGAATTTAAGCAAAAACAAAGAACTGCCATTTACATATAAAATATGAAGTAAGAAACTTCATATTTTTTTACCTTTTAAAATGTGAAATTCAAATGACCCCCCCCTCTAATAGATATAATATCTTTAATGTAACTGAATTTTTAAAAGGTGAAATGTTTCCTCTTTATAGAAGATTACAACGACTTGGTGAAAATAAGGGTTTTGTTTAATTTTTTTAAAATAGTGGCATAAAAAGTACAGGCAGTTAAAACAAAATTTTTAAATGCATTAGAAATCATGTTTGCTGTAATTTATTTTTATTGCAAAAGAATAATTACACTTAGGAAAAGCGGCCTTGCTTTTTCAACAGGAGTAGGAATTGCGCCCTGGAAAATGCTAGTGAGACGGGAAATGAGAAGGGGTGTATTCTGTCTCCACTAGGAAAATTTTAAATCTTAGAATCAAAGATCTCACTTTTATTAGATTTTGAAATCTCAGCATAATGTGACTAGGAGAGACAGCCAGAAAGACGCTCCCAGGCTGCCTCTGAATCTCCTTTCTGGTCATAGTACTTACTGAAGAGATTTATATCTACCTTATGTCCATAGACATAAGTATGCATGTTTGTTTTTTCCAAATAGTCTCTAAAAGCTGGGAAGAAAGTGAAACTCTCTCATGAAGAAATTATGCAGAAAATGGGTGAACTCTTTGCCCTAAGGTAAAATTTTCTGTCAGTAAAATTTCCTAATCTCAAGCAAACATCCTTATAATTCTGCAGCAAAGCGCGAGTCTACCTTGATCAGAAGTACAGCTATTTTCACGTCATTCGTTTCAGCAGGGCCCACCCCCGCCTGCTTGCAGACTGAATTATTCTTACTGCAAGAAACCCCAGGGTGCAGACGCAATCAGAATTACCCTACAGTAACCCTACTGCGGGAGTGCAGTGATGGTCTCTGAAGGTAGAAAGATCCACTCTGGAAAATGGAAAGTGGGAAATCTCAGCAGAGTATCTGTCTCGCCTCGTAAAGCTAAGAGACTCAAATGCCGCAGAGGCATCCTGCACCCAGTACACAGAAAGAGGCCCCAGCACGCAGTTGCCAGTTAAACCATGATAGGGGGGTTGTTATCACAGAATTTAAATTTTGCGCCCTCTGAAAGCGCTCCGGTCATCCTGTTTGGATGCAGACTTTGTCACATTCCCTCCTGGACATAAGAAGAGGCAGCACCGGGGAATTGCTTGCAGCCTCGACCTCTGAGTCACTCTTCCCACTGCAAGACCCCATTAGTTTCAAAGATGCCTCCCACTTTCAGAGATGTTAATATGAGAAGAATGAAGGTGGCATCTTCAAATTGGGGGAGTACAGTCATGCATCACTTCAAGTAATGCCAGGAAAGGCTTCAGTGTATTGCAACCCCAGGATTTATGGAATGGGCATGCTCCATCTTGCGGTTACTTCCACTAGGAGCACCATCATTGAGGGTTCATCTCTCTTCTGCCATCTGGGGTGTTACTAGACTTGTCATTTGCCTAAGAGTTGTTTCTGTATATTTCTTTAGCTAGTAGTCCTGGAGAGAAAAGTCCAGTTTCTCCTCATCCTGCTTTTCTCTAACTCATAAAGCCTCGTGTTCTCTGAGAGGTGGAGTAGGGGGATTCTTCTCTCTTCTCCTCTTGGTAGTACAAGCAGAATTGGATATAGTAAATTATATTGTCAAAACTTTCAAGTCAGGAATATAATTTCTATGGAGTCTTAGGTTCTTCTCCTAAATTTTCTTTTAAAGATTTACACACACAAGAGCTGGGGTGTAGCCAGAGGTATATATGGTGGGGTGGGGCGGGGCGGGGTGGTAGAAAATTCACCAGAGACAGAGGAGAGCAGACAGGCAGATCCACTGAAATACACTGCTGAGGGGAGCAGCAGGGAGACAGGAGAGGGCTGCTGCATCATGTGTGTGAGCTTCCTAGCCGGGGATCAAACTTAAGCCTGATAGCGCTGTCTTTAACCCCTGCGCCACCAGGGAGGCCCCCTTTTTTCCTAAAGTTTCTTATCTTGGCCCTCCCTGGTGGCGCAGCGGGTTAAAGCACAGCACTGAGAAGCTAAAGCCACTTCCGCATGAGTTCGATTCCCGCCTGCCCCGGAGGTGACCACATGGCGTGGCAGACCTCTCCTGACCCGCCCGCTGCTCCCCTCAGCAGTGTACTTCGTCGATCTGCCTGTTCTGCTCCCCACTCTGTCTCTGGTGAATCCTCTCACCCTCCACATCTCTGGCCTGTACCCCAGTTCTGTATGAATAAATAAATCTTTAAAAAAAAAAGAAGAAGAAGAAGCAGCTTAAGCCACTTCCGCATGAGTTCGATTCCCGCCTGCCCCGGAGGTGACCACATGGTGTGGCAGACCTCTCCTGGCCCGGCCGCTGCTCCCCTCAGCAGTGTACTTCGTCGATCTGCCTGTTCTGCTCCCTACTCTGTCTCTGGTGAAGCCTCTCACCACCCCTGAGCCTCTGGCCTGTACCCCAGTTCTATATGCACAAAAAAATAAATCTTTACAAATTTTTTTTCTTATCTTTACAATAACAGTGCTTTTGTGCTGCTAGGCATGTAGTACATAGATGGAAAAGCACAGCAAGTTACAGAAGGTGGAAAATTAAGTCACTAATTAAACATACGGGATCCCAAAAAGTCTTATTTTGATATATACATGCCACACGAACGCATGCTGCACACAGATGCATCCGTACATAGGACAGAGCGTGTCCCTGTGGATTGGGCAGGAGGGCTTTCCACCGGTGGCCCGAATTCTCTAGGGCTCTTCTGTTTTCTAGTGAAAGGTTCTGTGTAACCTCTGCAACTTTAATTTTCATCTAAAATAAGCTTAGATGCCCTCAGGAAAAAGGTGAAATTAAGAGATTGCACGTCCTGCGCTTGCCCAGAAGGCAGAGGAAACGAAAGCGGTCACTACGGAGGTGGGTGGAAAGGAGACGGGCCAGGAGCAGGAATAGGCTTGGTCCCGTCGCCTTTCTCACTTGCGAGCTGTGGTCACCTTGCCACACAGCGTATGTGGACACCATTAAACAACTTTAGGGAAAGAAGAAACAAATTAGGAAATTGAAGTCAAAATGAGGGGTTTTTCCTACTTCATGAATAATAGTCATAAATCTTGAATTGGTTGTTTGTAGGCTTTGAAATTTATTAGTTCTTTATGTTTCTTAGAAGCAAAGGTCAGCATGTTCAGATGTTTATGTAAGGTTCTATCAACTAAGAACCGTATCAGAAACTGGTTTTCAATTCAAGAGAAAAAAATTTAAAATGACAATTTTCCCTTTCTCAAGGCACCGTATAAATTTGAGTTCAGACTTCTTGATCACTCCCGACTTCTACTGGGACAGAGAAAACCTGGAAGAGCTCTATGACAAAACCTGCCAGTTCCTTAGCATCAACCGTCGAGTCAAGGTATGTGCTTTGTACTTTTACTGATAAAGACACACTGTTGCCTCCACTTGTGAGACTGTGAGAGAGAATTAGCATGTTTTTCTGTTCTTGGAGCAGTATCGACTTCTCTATCCAGACCTCTGGGTTTCCCTCCCCGTTCCCGTCTTGTCCTGTGCACCGACCCTTTCAGCTGAACTGACCAAAGGGTGTTCTGATATTTGTTCTATAAACCAAACAAGACTGAGAGTTGGGGGGTCTGGCGGCCCATTTGGAGGTTCTGGCAAGTTTCAAGCTAGCGTTCAGGGCCTCCTCACTGGAGCAGTGGCAGCAAGAGCAGAACAAATTGCATAAAGCCCCCCCCAGGACAGCGGCGGCGATGGGTAACCGGACCAGGCAAGGGAAGGTGGACGTCGGGGATGTTTGCCGGTGGGCGGCGGGCGGCAAGATGGAGCTGGCGTGCAGGGAGACGACATCCAGTTAAAATGGCCACACAGGCGTCGGAGGTTCGGTTGGGAAGAGACGTCTGCGTCACGGGCAGGCGTGGAAATGGGGGGCCTGGGGATGAGCAGGAGGTGAGCCAGCGGGGAACACACAAAGCAGAACGGACAGTAGCGGGTGTGCACTTAGTTCCGTGACATCGCGCGCGCGTGTGGATGCACAGAACCGTGTTTGAGGACGGAGGTGGCACCCTGAGCCCTCCGGGGCGTCCCGCACACCCACAGTGCCTGCCCGCCCAGCGGGCCCAGCCCCCGCAGGGATTGGCTGTTCTCCAGCTCTGTCACTCTGGGGATGTTAGACGGATAGACTCACAGTGTGGAGTTTGTAACATTGGCTTTTTCACTGAGGCGGTGTCCGGGTGCTGCACGCGTCAACCCCTGCCTTCCTGGGGTGACTGGGCCATGCTCTGGAATCCCGTCTTGATTTATCAGTATTGTTTGAGTATTTCTTGGCATATTCAGTGGTTGCTCAGGTCCTTCATTAAACACATGTAACTGACCCGTCTGCTGGTTTTGACATTTACCAGCTAAATCAAGGGTAGAAGCTCTGCTTTTCTTCACACCCTATGCACCCCAGTATTTGCGATAGAATCGCTTTGACTATTCCGCAAACCGAGAGACCACCACTGGTATACCAGTTTTAGCTTCAACCATCTGACGCAATTGGGAAAACTCAAGAGGTGGAGTCTGTTGTATTTGCCACTGTTTGCTGAAACAAATTCTGAGTTTCCGACTTCTGCCAGTGTTTTCAGTTCCCCTTCATTCCTGAAGGGTTTGTCGCTGACTACAGATTATGATCATGTTTTTGTTCAGAGCTCAGGGCTAACCGCAGTAACGATGCCCCTCTTACTCTCTTAGAAACAAGTCAGCAGGTCCAGCCCATGGGATGGGGGGTGGCATCACTCGAGCATGAGTCTGGGAAGCTTTGTTGTGAGCACCCCACTCACGGTACCCTCAGTCCCATTACTTTTGGGACCCCAGCTTCAGGCCCCCAGACACTGGTGCCCCAGGTGCTGTGTTTAGAATCGGCCTTGAGCCCACTGCCGCCTCCACTTGGCTCAGCGAGGCTAACGCCAAAAGAGCATCTTGTCTTTGACCCGGGAGAGGCCTTTCTGTGTGTCTGCACACTATTTAAGATGTGGTGACAGGCATCGGGCCTACCACAAGGACACCTCCTTGAGTTAAGAATAACCGTTGACAGCCAAACGTCACTATTTCTGGACTCAGGTCAAGCACAAGAATAAGGAGGGCGTCCCTGGTGGCACAAGGGGTGACGTCTCAGCACTGGCAAGCTCTCCACAACCACTGCACCATGAGTTCAGTCCCCGGCCAGGGAGCTGACCCACACAGCACAGCAGACCTCTCTGGTCTTGTCCGCTGCTCCCCTCAGCAGTATATGTTGGTGGGTCTACTTGTTCTGCTCCCTGCTCTGTCTTGGGAGTCCTCTCATCTCAACCTCCCCACCGCTAGCCTGCACCCAAGTTCTTGGATGCATAAATAAATCTTTAAAAAAATATGGCCCTCCCTGGTGGCGCAGCGGGTTAAAGCACAGCACTGAGAAGCTAAAGCCATTTTAGCATGAGTTCAATTCCCGCCTGCCCCAGAGGTGACCCACATGGCGTGGCAGACCTCTCCTGACTCGCCCTCTGCTCCCCTCAGCAGTGTACTTCGTCAGTCTGCCTGTTCTGCTCCCTACTCTGTCTCTGGTGAAGCCTCTCACCACCTCTGCTCCTCTGGCCTGTACCCTAGTTCTGTATGCATAAATAAATAAATCTTTAAAAAAATAAATAAGGACCGTGAGACCAAGGACTCTCCCCACCAGCTCCAGCAGCCGAGTGCATGAATGTACGTCTTTCCCGTGCTGAGGCCACGTTGGGCGAGGCCCTCCAGAAAGGGGCAGGCAGGCAGGCCTACTGCTGTTGGATTAGTATTTGAAAGAACCCCATGCTGACCCTCTGTCTCTGGCACCTTAAACCTAAGGAAATACCCCTGAGTGCCAGCTAGATTAGATTCCAGCCCCTCAACCGTGCCAATTTAAGATGTGGTGCAGGCATCGGGCCTTCCATGAGGACACCACCTTGAGTCAAGAATAACCATGACAACCAAACTTGTCAGCTATTTCTGGACTCAGACCAAGCACAAGAACAAGGAGGGCCTCCCTGGTGGCACAAGGGGTTGTCTCAGTCAGCACTAGGAACTTGTGCTTCAGCCCCAAGATTTAAAGTCTCTGGATTAAAGCAGAAGTTTAATCACTGTCAGTATCATCTTTTATATAAAATATTCTAAGGAAGCTACAAGAATACGTGAACTCATCAAGGTTAGCAGCTGTAGGGTAACTATATTACAGAAAGCCATTATTCTTTATGCTGTCAATAAACAACTAGAAAAAAATTTAAAATACCATTTATAATAGCATCAAAATCTTGAACTACTTAAGAGATAGTTTTTCAAAATGTAAGGCCTTGGACTTGAAAACTGCAAAACATGCTGAGAAGCTCCACCTAGGGACATTCCATGTGTGCACAGAAAATGGCGTTATTAGAATTGACCTGTAGATCACCTCAATCCCAATCAAAATCTGGACAGCAGGACAACAGGGCTCCTGGCCTGGGCCCATGGCGGGCAGCGTCTTGTAGGCCTGATGGCCACATGGGTTTGAACTACATCGCTTGTCATAGCTCTGGCCATTTCCTTCATTTGTGTCCTATCAGTTCCTTTGGCCACTGACTTAACTTCAGGGGACCTGACATCTGTCCTCGGGGTATCAGACATGCCCAGTTCTCACTGCCGCTGCCATCTGCTTGCCTAGATTTAGTCACAAAGACTGGCTGTTCTTTATCTCATTCCCAGGCTCACTCTGAGCTATCTCTTTAGTGTTATAAAGATAACACGAGATAACAAAGCATATTTTAGAGTTCCCAAAGAATATTTCTCAGATTTTCTTAGTATCTTAAAGTCAGTGATGGATTAGATGATCATGTGGAAAAAGTTAAAAAGAATTTAGCTTCCCTCACTGTGCTGAACTCAACGCCAGCGTTTCAGACAGCGCAGAAGGAAGTAAGAAACCACAGCGGGCTTTACGAGGGGAGACAGAACCAAGGGTGGCGGAAGTGCCAGGGGAAAGCTGTTCCTTGCTTCAGTTTTTGGTTTTTTCCTAGCAGAAGAGTGCTGAGAAAATCAGGGCAGGCTTGGAAGGCGATGTGCTGAAGGGCAGTTGAAGTGGTTGAGGGTTGAAGTGATTTGCGAGTGAAGAGCTCACTGCATGAAATCAGAGGGTGACTCCTGAGCTGTAACGAAGTCTCTATGTGGGGGCGCTCCCCCATGGGTGTCCTCCGGGATTCTTCTCCTCCTGTTCCCAGCTTGTCTATAATCTGTTTTCATGATGTCTGCAAGCTCTTTGTGTTTTTCAACCCCTGCCTGCCTTCCAGATGTTTCCAGCTTCCTCCTGAACCTCAGTTCTTCCCCATTGATTTGCCTCACAGCAGCCTGTTCGGAATTAACTGCCTCTCTCCTGGAACATAGGCCCCATGAGAAGAGCCACGGCCAGTAATGTCTTCCCTGCCTCTTCCCAGTCCCCAAAGAGCCTCTGTGCCATAAATACTTGTAGGATTAACAATGACTGAAATTTCCGTATGGTCCTCATTGACTTCTCCCCAAACTGCCGAACCTCCACTATTAGTTTGGCTAACAGCAGGACTACCCGTCTCACCCCTCTCGTCAGCAGACACTCGCAGCTCTTCAAGGCTTCGCCTTTCTGCTACCTGTGTTCCACATCCAGCCAGTCAGTCCTTTCACTTTCTCCTGTCATCCATTTACTGACAAGCACCTATTAAAAGTCTATGGCAGATCACCCCTAGGCTGGAGAAACAGGGACTCCCTCCGTCCAGACACCCCGGCCACTGCCCCTCACCTGGGCTGTTCGAACACCGCCTCTCTCCGTCCCGTCTCTGATCTTTGGCCAGAAGGCAGACTACAGACTAGTCTTCTGAATTTGCCATTCTCTCCTCAGCCCAGCGCTTTTGGTAAACACTAAGCAAGTATCTGAGGCCCTCACAAAGGGCCCCACTGTCTGTAGAACCCCAGCATTGGAGCACGGTGTTGGCAGTTTCCCGTTGCTGCTGGGACAAATTACCTCAAACTGGCTTGCAACAAATATATTACCTTCTATTTATTAAAGTTCTTGTAGGTCCCAAGTCTGACGTGGGAGTTACTGACCTAAAACCAAGCTGTTGGCAGGGCCTCCTCTCTCGAGGCTCTGGGTAGGGCCCATTTCCTCGCCTTCTCCAGCTCCCAGAGGCACCCACACTCCTTGGCTACGGCCCTTCTCCCACTGGCAAAGGTGATTGAGCTCTACCCGCCATCTCACCTTGTGTCCACCCTGCGCCCACCAGACCTTCTAGGGTAACTGTGGTATGTTAAGGTCGGCTGGAGTAAACGTAACTCATGTAGCATCTTCATGCTCCTTGGCGGGGCCATATTCACGGTGCAGGGGTAGAATCTAACTCTGGGAGGGAGAACTGTTCCTCAGCACCCACATGGCCTACAGGACCTCTCAGCTGGTTACCAACTTCCTGCACCTCCAGGTCTCTGCACCAGTGCCGTTTCTTCTGCGTGTAACTCTTCCCCTTGGTGCCCCGTCTTTCCTGCCTGCTGACCCTACTCACCTTCAACACCTTTCTGCAGCTGTCACGCACACATGTGACCAGTGCCTCTACGGCGACAGGAAGCAGGAAGTGTGCACACATGGAAACCGTCTGATGAGCTTATGCCCACTGACTGGCTGGCTTGATGAAAACAGAGCAGTGTGTGCGGACGAGGGAGGAGCTGTGAGGGGAGGATGGCGGGAGGGAAGCTCCCAGCTTGCCTTTCTCTCTGCCCTGCCCGGCAACCTCAAAGGGTCGCATCTCATGACTAGCCAGGTGATCCTGGGCCAGCATCACAGCTGGCCAGGCCTGGGCCTCATACCCACCCCTCCCACCCCGGGTTCTGGGGGAAGGGATGTTTGTAGCGCTGATACTCAGGGTGTCATGCTTCCATGGTGGGAAATACTGGAAGAGTAACTTCCCAGAAGGAGCGATGGGAGGGGAGGCGGCAAGGCTGACTGAGCAGAAGGAAGGGCTAAGCAGAAACCATGTGGAGCTAGAGGCAGAAACAGGAGGTTGGGAAACCTGTGCCAGGTAGAGCGGGACTGCGTGGAGGCGCTGGGGGGGGGCCTGGTGGGGTGACACCAGACAACAGTCAGAATCAAGCTTTTGTACAGCTGTTTCAGATGAGCATGCTAACGCCAACACAGAACTTGGAGGCCTCCCCCACCCAATGGAAGGCACCTGTAGGCGGCCACACAGCTGACACAGGCCTGCCAGGCGCTAGTCACGTCACAGTGAGCAGGGAAGACTCTGGACTCAGTAGCAGACGCTAACTGCAGTGCCAGGGAGCAGGGAATAGGGCGAGCCACACGGGTTGGATGCTAGTAACCGAGAAGAAGGTGGCCTGAGGGAGAGACCAACCCCAACGGCTGTCACTTTTAAGAAACCTAGTTTACTTGAGGCACTAGCCGGAAACCCTAAGTTGTTTTACAGACAAATTGAGTCACAGAAGTCAACTTATCTGAAAAAAGCAGGCTAATTTTCTCCCAAAATGTGGGATGGACTGTGGCGACACGTGGACGTCGAATTAAGTAACAGACAGAACACTCACTACTGTCCAGGAGGAATGCTGCTGTTGACTGGCCTGCTCTCCCGCTTTCCCACGTGGCAGGCTGAGCTTTGCGTAGAACAAGACGCCAGATGGCTTTCCCATTCATGGCCGTGAACTTCTTTATAAACTCAACATTACGAAGCCAAGCCTTTTGGAAACCAACTGTAAACTGGCACATGTCACAGCAGCAGATAGCAGGATGCAAGTGACTGATGCAAGTGCCTGAGTCTAACAAGTGCCTCCACGGCCCAGTCGTGTAAGATCACGCAGGGGCAGTGCTGAAGGCCATCAGGACTTCCAGGAATGTCCCTACAAGCAACAGATGACACAGGAGCATTACATTCCAGGCAGAACTGAGTTCTCAGGAGGGGGAAAGCCAGGCAAGCCAAGCATCTCAGGTCGCAAATGCTTGACTGAGGCTAAGAAAAGTTGTTTTATGTTTACAACTTCTGGAAGGTTAAGGAGTAACCTTGGGTGATAAGGAAGTTGAGAAAGAAAGTAGGGGAGAACTGGGTATTTTGAGTGGGGAATAGGATGAATGTGTGGAAAAACCAAGATTTCACAGACAAAAAAATGGAAGGGGAGGGAGGAAAGAAAGAGGCTCTGTTCTGACCATTCAGAGTAGAAACTACAGGTCTAGAAACACAGGCGTGGGAACAGATGGGTGGGCCGGTGGAGGCAGTACAGCGCGAGTAAAACCCCAGGGAGTGTGGTGCCCAGATGTTTGGATCCACCGTGAGCTTATCTTTGGCTTGTCTCAAATTTCCACCAACGAAACTTGCCCCTGCAGCACCTCCCTAAGTCATCAAAAGGGAATCACTTTTAATTTTCTGTTTACCAAAGGAAAGTGGAATACAGAAAGCTCTCACTTGCCCAAGGTCACATTCAAGTTCTAAATTCAATTTCCTTTGAGCCCTTCAACTAAACAGCCTGTGGCGGCCCCAAGAACCAGTTCAGCGCAAGAGCAGTGCCATCTAGTGGCCACCGTGCAGCAGGCAGGTGTTCTGGTTGAGGATTTTGAGGGAGAACTTACCCACTTGGGGAAGGCAATGATTTTGTCAGCTTTCAGCTGTGAAAAGAACTGTTTTAAGTTTTCCTTTCGTTACTGATTAAAAAAAAAAAAAAAAACAAGAAACAAAACCCACAGGCAGCAGCCAAAAGCTAGGGACTTAACGTTTTTTAGTCCTTCCCTCGAAAGCTTACAAGAGCTTCGGTATGCAAAGTATTTGCAGCTATATCTGTGCCATGAAATCACGAGGGGTAATAACAGCTGGTTGCCTTTGGGGAGAGGACTGAGTAACTGTTCCTAACTTTTAGAGTTGGAGCAATGCGACCAGGTTATGTATCTTTACATGTATTTAAATAGAAAAAAAAATGTTTAAATACTAAAATTTGTCGATTGCAGGTCATGAATGAAAAACTTCAACACTGCATGGAGCTAACTGACCTAATGAGAAATCACCTGACAGAGAAGAGGGCACTCCGCCTGGAGTGGATGATTGTCATTCTCATCACCATAGAGGTAAACAGCCTTTTCACCAATAAAAGACAAAAGTAATTAAAAATAAGATATAGAAAATGGTAAGAAAAAAGGACATGATTTTACTCTAATTAAACCTTGGAAGTTCCAAGTGACTTATTTTGGAAATGTAATTTTTGGGAAAACCCCACACTTTTGAAAGTTTACTGAAAGTTACTCAAAGTTCTAGCCCTAAATTTGTAACAGACAGCCAAATAGCAGTGCTGTGCCTCAGACCTGTAGCTTGCCATAAGGGAAAAACAAACATTTCCTCTTACTTCAAGAGCATATTTCATTAATCACAATCTTGAGAAAGTTATTTTTGCATAGACCAGTGACTTGCTATTCTCTTTATTACCCCAAGGTGATGTTTGAGCTGGGCCGAGTATTTTTTCATATCAAATGATGACCAAAGGAAAGTGTCATTGCAAGAGATATCCAAGTTCTACAGTCTGAAATAAATGTTCACTCTTGGGGGCATCTCTTATTTAATGGGTATTTAATTTTTTTTTAATCAACTTGTTATATAATGGTCACTTTCAGCCCCTAATGTGTTGCTGCTTAAATAAAATACAAATTAATGAGAACCTGGTGTGTGTATGTCTTTAACATCGACAGTTCAAAAGGAAAATGTTTGTTCAGTAAGCTTAACATCTAGAAGAAGCTAGACACCTGTTAAAGCCAAAAGGTTTACTAACCTTGGACACTACCCTACCATGGCCCTGGCGCAGAGAACCAGATGTGGAAATATGTTCAAATTTTCTTCACATATACCCATGAACACAGTTTGGAGACACTGTCGTTCTGCAGTGTGTAACTGCTACACAGTATTTCATCAAGGGGGTAACTCTTTATCTAGACTCAGATTGATGACATTTCTGTATTTGCTGCAACAGTGCAGACATCCTGGTGTCTTTCAGTACAATGCAAGAGCTTAAAGTTATCTACAACCCAAAGACTTCCCATAGAGCATATAGAAAGCATAGTTCAAAAATTGCTTTCCAGATCCTCAAGTTCCATGCAAAACTGTCCTGCTCATGCATTCACAGTAACAAGCCCATTCTTTCCCATTTAACTTCACTTAAAGAAGGCATCTCTCACCCTGAATTTTGATTTCTAGGACTTTATCTAAAACCTTTAAATTTACAAATTTGGGGAGTGCCAAGTGAGAGGACACCTTGAAACATTGGTCAATATTTATTAAAAAAAAGCTCCCTTTCACAGAGACCAGGAATCCCCCACTTACCTATTAAGTAGGATTTCCAGTAAAATCTACCCCGAAGGTCAACATGTACAATGTGCTTTTGGGTCAACTGTGCAGTAATTTTAACAATTCAAAAGAACATGAACATTTATTACCTTATAGTGAGGCAAATAAAATACACTGCACAGAGCAAAAGAATAAGCAAACCTTCAAGCATAAAAATTAAGATAACATTTTGAGGAGGGGAGAGGAACAATGTTAAAACTTGATCATAGTGGACATCAACTCATAGTGTTATATTCTACCACATACTTCAAAGAAAGAAATTTTTTGATTTCAGTCTTTGACAACTTTTAAAAAAATCAGCATTTGACATATCAGCAATTTTTCTTTTTCTGATGAAAGCTTCAACTCTGGTTTTAAGAGTTTTCAAAATCATCTTAAGTCTAACCACAAACAAATCGTTTTCAACATCACAACTTCTCTAAGAACAAAATGACCAGAAATCATACCAGAGTATCAAGAACCTAGAAAGTACACATCACCCGTTGTTCTGGAAGTGTCCTCAGAACCACTGCCACTCGCATGGTGGCCAGGCAAGGGGACCTGAAATCTGCTTCTCCACCAGCCTGCTGCCTGGGCTTGAGCGAATGCTGGCTCTGGGCCCCAGCTTACTCTGAAACAGGTTAAATAGTAGCTGACCTCATG